TCATTTTCCATATCACTATTATTCCCTTTAAAATTCAGTAGGAATTCACTACTGATGTTTCTGAAATAATCATGTTAATCTGCTTATACCATTTTAATCTATAGTACTGAATACAGAAAAATGAAAAACACATGAAGTCAAGGGTCTCCCCTGGTGGCAGCTGTTGTTATATTGCTGTGGGATGTTAGAAGGATCAACAATTTTGAACAAACTGAGTTAGTTTTTCCACCTTCTGATTTTTTAACAAAATATACTATAAAGCAGCTATTTTCCCAATCCCAAAAGATTAAAATCATAGTCCAACTACCATTTAGATTCTAAGTAGAACATAACATTCTATAAGAGAGGGCCTAGCTCACTCTGACACACAAAGTTAATTGCTGTGCTTTTTAAGAACCTTCACATGTGTGAATTTTATGAAGAAATGTGATTATAGGTACCCACTTTTATCAGGAATGAATATTCTACTTGCTTCTTAGTCTGTTCCATTCGCTTCTTTATAGTTTATAGTCAGCCCTATGCTTTCTCCCTACCCTGTTGGCTCCTGCCATGTCAGCACTCAGCAACTACTGATAATAATACCTATGTGAAACAATTAAAAAAAAACAATCAAAGACAAGAGATTACCAGACTGTTTTGGGTGGGGGCAGTTAGGTGGCACAGTGGATAGAGTGCTGGGCTTGGAGTCTGAAAGTCTCATCTTCCTGAGTTCAAATCTAGCCTCAAACATTTACGCGCTGTGTGACCCTGGGGCAAGTCACTTACCGCTCTTTGCCTCAGTTTCCTCATTTGTAAAATGAGAAGCATATGGCAAACCACACTAGTATCTCTGCCAACAAAACCCCAAATGGGGCCACAAAGAGTTGGACATGACTGAAAAATGACCAAACTAATAACAACCAATCTATTTCTTGGACCCAGCTATAGTACCTTGGTCCCCAAATCAGTCAATAAACAGGTATTTAGTGTCTACTATGTACTAACACCATTTTACTTTATCATAGAGGAAATTTGTCTGCAACGGCCCAAACAAAAAAGGAAGCATTGACAAATATAATTTTCCCTTTAATTTTATTGCACAGGAACAAAAGACAAGTTATGATACAAATCCCCATTAAACTGAATGCAGTCCATGAAACAGAAATTTTACTAATAATCTCATTTACTTGGATCAGGAATTAAGTCCTGGATATGTTATATAAGAAGGTTGTCATCTTAAATGTTCACCTAACAACAGGCTGCCATATTTAGACATTCTCATTGTGACCCTTAAGTTCATCAAGAATTTTTGTACGGGGCAGCTAGGTGGCACAGTGGATAGAGTATCAGCCCTAAAGTCAGGAAGACCTAAACTCAAATCCGGCCTCAGACCAGACACTTGACACTTACTAGCTGTGTGACCCTGGGCAAGTCACTTAACCCCAATTGCCAAAAAAAAAAAATTTGTAAACTGGGTAGGTTAACTGGGTAACTCTTAAATTTTTTAGAGCTAGGTCCTGATGAGTGCACATCATGAATCCCCTGTAGTGGCAAAATTATTTGAAAGTGCACTGCATATTTCCATTGGGCAGGAATCAAAGACTGTATTTTACAGAGTTGTAAAATAGTACTTCAAATAGTACAAATTTTAATACATGCATCCACTTCAGGAGCTTCATTTCACTAATTAGTACCTAGTTGTGTTTGCTTCTTGAGTATCGGAGCTAACACTTAACAGAACATTCTTGGATCTCCCCAGTATAATTTCAGCTACTTAAAGGCAAGCATTCCTTACTTTTCATATTTGCATTCCCAGTACCTCACACCATGTCTGTCTGTGAAGGAAACACTTCACAAATGCTTTGGGGGTGTTAGTTAGAAGCCATGGCTGACTGACTAATGCAGATATTTCAATGAGCAAATAACCTCAATTATTTTTTCCATCTTCTGATCTTTTAACAAAATAGATCATAAAATAGCTACTTTCCCAACCTCAAGAGATTAATATCATAGTCTAACCACTATCTGAATTCTAAGTAGAATTCTAACCTACTCAAATACTTGTTGAATGATCCATCAAATTCCATTTTACCTGGAAATTATAGGGCTAAGCATGGACAAAATTCAGTTCTCTTAATTCAAAGCAATTCTGCCCTTCATTTGATGGTGACAATGAGAGACAGAGAAATAGAGATTTTTCTAAGGGATTCATGTCATGGAGGAAATAGATACACCCTTGCATCTGTAAGAACTTGGCCAGTAGAGGTGGAGGGAATCTGTGCCCATGAAGTAGCTGCCAGCTGCCCATTGCCGAAACATATGCTTCATAAAAGGAAGTGGAAAACCTCTGTTTTCACTGATGTGATTCCAAAGAGGAATCATCAACAGAAGCCACTGAGGTCTGGATTTCTTCCGGGTAGCACCAACCTTAGTACCTATAGCAACAGTAGCTGTTGAAAGGAAATTACAACAAGAGCAATTTCACATTTATTATCATGCTTTGAGGTTTGCAAAACAATTTCATAGCCACTGTATGAGGTAGGTGGTCTGGAAGAAAGGGCTATGGTAAACCCTATTTCTTAAAACCCTCTACAAAATGCCCACCAGCACTATTTGAGAGGACTTCTTGGGAATAGTCTCTAACATAGAGTACTCCCTCTGAGGAATGTTTGGTAATGGAGAAAGGCTGGTTCTCAAGCTTGTCTTTGACTTTCCCCCTAAATGCTAAAAAACGGAAACACAAGAAGAAAATAAACTAAACCAAAAAAGTGCCTAAATTAATTATGGCTATTGTTCACATGACCCATGGTATGGCTGAAAGAGTTCTGGAATCAAAAGTCCTAGATTCACATTAACCACTTGAGTAAACTTAGTTAAATTATATAACTACTCGGGAATCAAAAGTCCTGGATTCACACTAACCACTTGAGTAAACTTAGATAAATTATATAACTTCTCTGGACCTCAGTTTCCTTATCTACTAAATGAGTGGATTGAATTAGATAGCCTCTAAGCTACCTTTATGTATATGATCTTATCACCCAGGTGAAACATGAACAAATCAATCATCATGAATTTTGCCTAAATTATACAAGTATTTGAATGAGTAGACAGAATCCCGCAGTATGATTTCAAATATTTTCCAATATATGTCTATGTATTTATAGAATGCTTTGTGCATTTATAAATATTAAAGGAACTTTTGTATACCATTTGAATCTTTCTGAGGTTGTGGGTAGGATGGGGTACTACTTTTAGAGTTCCAAACCTACGTTATTTTTAATCCACATCACAACAATGTAAACAGCCTCTTTCCCCTTCGATGTTAATAAGCACAGGAGACAGACTTAATGAGGAATCAGAATGTTCTATTGGTATGGAAGAGAGGAAATCTAATCATGGACTACGAGGATGAAGGGGAACTGACTTCCTTGGCATTTCATTCTGTGACTTAATTTTGTTGTCTCTTTTAGTTGGGGGCCATCTTTCTCTCAGTCTTTGCCCCTGATAGTCTTCAACCAAGAAAATGTGTACTTTTAAAAAATTTTAGTCACAACAGCTAGTTGCAGGAATATCATGGTTTTCTTTCTCAGATGTTCAAACATTTTGTGACCATCTTTGACCACAAGAATTGTGTTAAAAAATACTTTTTAGGGCTCTGGAGGTAAAGGAGAACACTGTACTTTGATAATAAGACATAAATTCTTCAGACTTTGTGGTTTTCCTCGTGGATTTTTTTTTTCATTCATCTTTCTATTTTTCCTTGAGAATGTCAAAGTGTATAAGGAAGAATTATAGCTAATGAATCTTGTCTAGTAAAGTAGTCGTAAGACACAAATTATCCATAGCCTATTCGAGCCTCAGTTTTATCCATGCCTTTTGATTCCTCAGACTGTTGTTAAATCTGCACCTGCCTCAAGCAGGGTCATTTCAATTCTTTAATTTTCTTTTTTTTTCCCCTCCCAGTTCATCACTGGTTTCTATATTGAGTGACTCCAGGTGCTGGTATTTGGCATTATTCATTCACCTGGAATTTGCAGGGCAGTAATAGCTTAAAGCCCTCTGGCTAGCGCAGTATGGTGCATAGATCTATATGCTACATTGTGTGATTTTCTGAGTATTTCTTTTATTCCATTATTGTCCCTTTCTAGCCTATAGTGTAATATTAAGGATGAAGAAAGATTCTTTTTCCTATTTATCACAGACTCAGTATGTGTCTATCCACCTCTGTTTGTTTACACCATGAATGCATTCAGCCATGGAACTGATCTCCTCCAGTGAAATCTATTGTTATATCTCTGAAAGCTGTCGTTTCTGAGCCAGATCAACTGAATACCCATTAAAATGCCCCAGAGCCTGGAAAAAAATGCATGAAAATATTCATCTGATAGGTTTTCAGTGTTTTATGTTGCTACATTTGATATCTTTGCAAATCCAAGTAAGGAAGGCAAAGGTAGATAGGGATTAAAGACATGGATGAGCTTTAAAAAAATCTAAATCAGTAAAGTGATTTTTTTTTTTGCTCCCATTTTGAGAGTTGTGAGAGAGTGAATCTTTCTTCGCCCTCTTCCCTGCCCCTCCACATTTTGGTTTCTAGATAGAACTGCAAAAAAAAGCTTTTGATTTAACTCTTGAATTTTTGGCAAGCTTAATAAAGGCCAAATCAAAGCTAAATCAGGGGTATTTACAGCATCCACAAATTTAATCTAAAGTGGATACTTAAAAGCTCATATAGTTCTAAATGATGTGCTTCCAGATGGTGAATTAATGTAATTTTAGCAGGAAGTGAAGTTGCACAAATATGCAGTATTTGGATCACTCACTGATTTAATGTTTCTGTCCCCACCATAGCCCAGATGTTGCTGATCATTTTAGTGCCAGTTGTCTCTACCTCTCCCCTTGCTGTGAACTGAGAAATCAAGTTTGGGAATTTAGTCAATTCTGGTTTATTTCATTACTAATTGTGTTAATAAGGGAAGTTTGCTGTGAGTTGTTTACAAAGATCTTCTTGTTTTGTACAGGGTTTGAAAGGTGACTTGGGTCCTCCAGGTCCACGTGGCCAGAAAGGAGAAAAGGTATTGTATTTCCCCAAAGAAATGCTGAGCATGAATAAATGAAAATCTTTACCTTAACACATATATGCACACCCCTTTCCCCTTTCCCCCCAGCAATTAATTTTCACTAAGAGAGTATTAACTACCAAATGAATTCTGAAATTAACCAATTGCTGTTAAAATAGCACAAGCAAGAAATACTTTTTGGATCATTTTAATATCTCCCTGAAAACAATTAACATGCTAGTTCACTCTCACTATCAGCTGTGTTGCTCTACAACAGGGTCATCCCCTCAGCTTGCTTGACAGCAGTAGCTGTTATATCATCACACTAGGTGAAACCTCCCAAGGCAGCTGTGGGAACAGTGCCAGTAGCAATGAGGTGTGCGTCTGAAGGTGAAGCAGGTGGTTGTCAGGGGGAGATAACTAACTTTGCTCCACAGATTGCTCGCTCCATTTATCCCCACTCTTCCTCATTAACTATCCTGTAATGGTATATTGGCAATGACTTTGAAAGAAGAATAAAGAAAAATTAAAAAGCAAGCATTAAACTGAGCAAGGTCACTGGTCTCAACTTTTTAGACAGTGGCCATATAGTGGCTTTCTGATGATAATAGAATACATCTTCAGCTTGTCTTCTATTCTCAACATTATGTGTCTTTCTAGAGTCCATGAGTTCTTCCATTTTAAAAGATGAATAACTGTGTTTGTTGTCTTCTGCCTAAAGCTGGGAGAGTTACTGTTCTACAGGGTCCAAACATGAACACTATATGTAGCTAAGAGTTCCATTATTCCTAATTTTGGGATATTATGTACCAGTGTTCTATCTTGCAAATAGGCCTTAGCCCCACCCTCTATTAGGGGTTACTATGAATGGCCAAATCGTGGCCAAAGCTGAGCAATGGTATCTGTTTCTCACAAGTGTCTACTATTGCAGTGCCTTAATAATTAGAATGAGAGCACTGAAGATCAAAAGAAAATAAGTTTGCTAATTATTGTTGAAGTCAATAAAATTCATCTTTTGCTCTTTAAATTTAAGTGATCCATTTTTCAGATTCTCGAAGATATTCAGATATTTAAATGTATTATCAATTGGGAAGTCCCTCCAGTGAGGCAGATTACAACCTGTCAATTTCTCAGATACTTTGCATTAATTCCATGTGTTTTTCTAGTTTTCTAGCTATACCTGGTCATCTGAATTTACTCAAAGGTCAATGAAACACGTTCAATATTTGTAATTTGTATAGACTTGTGAAGCTGCCTGCCCTGATATTCTTTAGAAGAGGCAGCAGGCCATCTTCTTGCAGCTGGGAGGCATGAAGTGGGTTGAGCCACTTATTATTTCTGCTGATCCTGATAGTAACTTTGCATCAGAAAAATTATCTGCTGCTGTGACATTTCCCAGCTGCCCTGTTGGCAAGCCACCAGGCTTGAAAAGATATTCATTCTAATTTTGGATTAGCAGACAAAAGATTAGAAAATTAGATTATTTTGGTTCCTTTGAAACCTGTCCTTCTGCTGTAAAAAGCATGTGGGGATGAAAGGTGATTTTTATATTGTGGAAGGGAGTAGCAACATAATACAATTTTCATGCTATACAATATTTTCTTGAGATGAGATCCTGTTTTCCATAACTACAAAATTGATATTATACATGGTTATTGGTTCCAACCATCAAGAAGAATAAGAAATAAAACGTAAATAAAAGTTGGTAATTGTGATTTTTTCCCCCCTTTTCATTGTTTTAGGGAGAAATGGGACCTCCAGGACCACCAACCTTAATCGTAAGCACTTGTAAAAACCAAAATACAAATTAAAAAAAATAAATTCCCAAATATTTTCAACCAAATTTTTATCCACACTACACTGTTACTACACTTGAAACTAGAATTATTATTTTTAGAGCTCCAAGTTACTATGGAAATAACTTTATGGATAAGGTCGACAAGGCCCAAAGAAGGCAAGGAACTTGCCCAAAGTCACAAAGCTTGTTGGATGATACCAGAGCAGGTACTAAAACCCACAGCTTCTAATTCCCAATTCAGTGCTTTGCCTCTTATATTTTACCTCGAATTACCTCATATACTGCCATTGAGATTATTGTCATAAAATGCTGCTGCAATTTAAAAACACATTTAATATTACATTCAAATGGAAGCATCATGGTTTATCTTTACTGACACAAAAATAAGTTTTATAAAAATAAAGATTTCAAAAGGTGAAAGAAAACTACTATGCAAACTGATTGTTGCTCAGAATTCTAGGATATTCGTGTGGTATATTTTTAACATTTGCAAATGAATATATAAAACTACAGCATTTTGAAAAATAATTTATGAGAAACAGATAATGAATCTATAATGGAACTGTTTTAGAATTAACTAGTTCATTTTTTATTTATTAAGCATAGAAGCATAATTATATAAATATTCTATTTGGGCACAGCTTATATTATAGACTTTCTAGGTCTTTAAAAGTTAACATTTAATTAAAAATTCTTGGTCTAAGAATGACTTATTCTGCCTAATTATAAAAGCAAAAGGCATTTGTTTGAATCAAGTTTTTTTTTTTAAGATCAATTGTAGCTATAATTTTCTGATGCTGACATTATTTATTTATTCATTCAGTTTATAAAAATGGTGCCCTCTAGGTGAAAGTATTCAATTTAAAACAGTCAATTAATATACATAGAAAGAACAGCAGCAGTTAATAGCACATATTAAATATTTTAAATTATCGGCTTTAAAGCACCAGCCCATCAGGGAAGGTCAAGTTAAAAGAATGTCTTGTACTATTGTGAACTGGAGCTCTGTCACATCAGGAAAGGGCAGGAATTCCAAGGACCATTAAATGATCCTGTGACTTTGACAGAATTCATACTTCTGCTCTAAAGACCCATTGTGGGCTACACTCATTAATATATGAAACTAGTCTTTACAACCTCTCTGACATGAATGGCATGTGTTTTTATTCACAGATGGAGGAACTGTGCTGAAAAGTATGCAATGTACCTAGGGGTACTAAACAAATGAAGCTTTGGAGCTTTAAGCTTTGGTTTTAGGGAAGGCAATACAAACAATCCATTTGAGATATCACTGTAGAGGCACATTATTTGAAGTGTAGATATTCAACAGAGTTAATTTTTGAAAATGTTTTAGCATTCGAATTTTAAATTACTGTAGTACCCCTTTCTTGTTCAGTGTCCTTTTCAAGTTATTAAAACAAAATTTTACCCACTATAGATGATTTGATAAACCCCAGAACAGAGTCAAGCTAGAACCTGCCTGGAAATCAACAGAACAGTCTGTTATTAGAACTCTAGCATGACCAGAACAAGGAGTAAAACATGTTGAAGAACTCCAGTTTCCATTAAGTTTTCATCTGTAATCCTTAGGGACTGGAGTTTCAGTTATGGTCATGATGAGCTATTAAAATTTGTACCTGTCCCTCAAATCCTGTAACTTCTCCATGGCATTTGTGCATTGCTTTGTCAAAGAAAAAGGGTTTTGTGGCTCACAAAGAAGAGAAATAGATATTCCAATTTAACAAGCACCTCTATGTTACTGAAGCACCTAGGTTAAGGAAAAGACTTAACTAAATTCTCTGGTGGCTGAAACAACTGGAATGAACTTTTAAAACAAGGGTAGATTATTTGATCTGAATACCTTACTTTAAGAATTACCTTAGGGGTTCGGTGAGTGGTATTGATACTCAGGCAACAAAGTGTGTGTATGAAGTCAACTTACAAAAAATTTAAAAAAACCTTTCTTCTAGTTAGTCCCTGCAAGTGTCTCTCATGGGTGTTCTTTATAGCATAGTGATACAGGCCCAAATAGGCATCAATGGAAGAAATCACATTTATCTTTAAAACTCTCCAACCTCACCCCTGCAAAACTTCCCCCCCAATAGAATTCATGACACCTTATATGACAGATCGATTTTAAGAGAGAACTTGGGAAATTAAGCCACTGCATGAAACTATGACATTTTAGATAGAAGCAATGCTCTAATAAAGACTAATGGTTTGTGCTCAATATTATTCCAATTGTAGCATGTATATTATTTTTCTCATGACATTTAAAAAGCAAACACCAGATATAATAAATTTTAGTTCCATGGTTTCTTGTCCATTGATTTTATTTTTTAAATAAATTTCTGTTAATGCTTTTTATTATCACTAACTTTCCCCCCCATGACCCCTTGGAACTATTCAACTAGCAGTCAGTCAACTAGCATTTATTAAGTACCTACTATGTGCCAGGCACTTTTCTCTAACCCCCTTCCAGAGAGCCATTCCATATAATATAATATTATGTGTATGTATGTATATGTGTGTGTATATATATGTGTGTGTGTGTGTGTGTGTGTGTGTGTGTGTATGTATGTATGTATCTATGTATCTATGGCAAAAAAAGAATGTTAAAGAAAATCAGCAAAACTGATCAATACTTTGATAGTCTGAAAATACGTACAATATCTATCAATTGATTTTAAAATCTTAATTCTGCATAAATGTATTATGCTTTTAAATACCTTTTAAAATTATTCTTCTGTATTTGTATCAATAGGTCCAATATTCAATAAAGTTCTACTATTTTACCGTATGGTTTTTGTCAGGATACCGAAGTAAGGCTTTTGAAGCAAGGCAGGGATTGTTGCTGAAATGACATAGTTGGCTAAATTTCCTTCTGTCTCTCTCTCTTGTTCCCTCTTTGGCATCTACAGCTTAAGCCTGTGCCTGTCCTGTCAGAGCAATGACAGATGAAGGAAGGTAGTGCAGCCATGTCTCTTGTAAAGTATATGAAAACTATTCCGCTTGACACCTGATCTCTTGCTTTTAGTTTCCAGGAAAATGACTGTCCATCTATGTTCCTTTGGCTCTGTCCTTTTTGGGAGTTATAAAGTACTCATCCAGATGGCACCAAATGTTTACACAGAAGCCAAGGGTTAAGTCAGTCATCTGCAGAAGTACCTCAGACTTGCTTACCAATCAGATATTTGAAATGCCAGTTCTTGGAGGCCTAGATAAATCCAGCTCAAGTGAGAATTAGGCATGAGATGTAGCATAGCTTCCCCCCAGAGGAAATTGCATTACATACTACAAGTCTAAATAGGCTTGTAAAGCAACTCTCAGCTGGTCATTCATAAAAAAGCACAGAAGAGTTGCTAATTATTTAGACAGGCAAAACCTTGGCATGTTTTCTTTGTAAGGTGTTTGAAGCCAAGTCTATAGGGCCTTTCAGTTGTTTCAGAAAATAACCTAATCAAAAATAGACCAAGTGATTATTTAAGGACAAAACAAGTAATTTATTGATTTTTAAACTGTTGAATAGTTCCTTGTGATGCTACATAAATGTTTTTGTAGCCCTTTTCCTGGGCATCTATGTCACAATGGATATTTGGAGGAGATGTCATACTCCTTATCATTTAGTCAATCAACAAGCATTTTTATGTGTTTAATGTGGAATTTAAGTTGTCACCCAGAAGTCCAAGAGAACCTCTTCACTGAAGTGGAGATTAAGATCAATTCCTACCCTTTTTTACCCTAACACCACTTAAAACATGCTGGCCACAATATGTTAGAAGAATATTTTATTAAAAAAAAGTGAAACCATAGAACATTATATATTTACACAGCATTGTTGAATTTGGGAGTTGGAATGGACCTCAGTGGCCATCTAGTCAAATCAATAAGAAATCCCCACTATAACATAAATGACAAGTGATCATTCCACTTGTCAGTGCTTGAAGATGTCCAAGGAGGGGGAACCTGCCACGTATTGAGGAAGCCCATTCTACTATTGGACAACTCTGTTAACAAGTTGTTCCAGACATCAAGTATAAACCTTTAATAGTTTTCAATAATCTATAGGATAAACCCCCAAACTCCTTAATCTGACATTCAAGGACCTCTATGATCTGAATCCAATTTACCTCTCCAATTTTATCTCTTACTACTTCTCTTCCCATACCATATTATCCACCCAATCAGACTATTTGCCATCCCCCGATGGTGTCAAATCCTATATTTTCCTGCTTCTATGGCTTTGCCTATGACATTTCCCATGCCTGGAATTGGCCTTCTTACAAAGATTTTTTAATGAGTCTTTCCCAGTGTGACTTACGAGTCACAATGTGAAGAACTTTCTTATACTATGGTTCCCAGGAAATTTTCTACCCCTACTTCACCAGATTCCACTGTTCTCTGCAATGTCTTTAGCTAGCCTTTCTAAATCATTTAGGGTACTTACAGTTCTCCTTGCATGCTAATCAGAAAAGATTTTCTCCTAGTTTGGCCAGTGGTTGAAATCTTTTCCTGTAGAACTTATATCTCTGGTAATCAAATGCCAGATCAGGAATTTCCCCTTATTAAGACTTGTTCCATATGCCCATAGTTCACTGGACACACACAGAGGATCACCCTGGAAAAGGGTTTTAGCATCATTTTTACAGAGTAACTCACTTTTCTTCACCTTGGGAATCTATCTTTAGATGTCCTCTCATATACCTGCCAGCTTGTCTCTGCCTTGCTATTGTCTCTGTTCAGGATGGGCTACATTTTACTCCATTTTCACTGTTCTTCTAAACTTACTTGAAAGAGGATCAAGTGTTCTTCCCCCAAGGTACCCTAGATCTCTGGGGACTTCCAGGCCACCTTGGTTCATAAGATCATAAATTTATAGACAGAAGGAATCTCAGAGACCATCTAATTCAACTCCCTTATTTTATAGATGAGGAAAACAAAGCCCAAAGAGGTGGCTTGTCCAACATGACACAGATAGTA